TGAGGGGGTGGGGGGGGGGGGGGGGGGGTCAGGTGAAGCTTAGGCTGGAGTTGAGCCTTTAGGTTTTCGAGGCTACTGAGTACCCTTCATCAGGCAAGGTGCCATAATGATAAATGATAACAGAAAAAGATTACATCAGTGCTGACCTAAAGTTAAAATATAATGAGGGCAATCTATCAAAACTGGAGCAGAGGAAATGTGGAGCAGCTATGCATGGCAGCCAATCAGCATCCACCTTTCATTTTCAAAGCTAAACTGAAGAGAGAAGCTGATTGGTTGCCCTTGGCAGCTGCTCCAGATTTTATCTGCTCCAGTTTTGATACATTCCCCCCAATGTTTTTAAATCAATTTTGTTTTACTTTTATGTTTAAACTTTTCTAAACTGATGTTTTCTCTTTCCTCTCTCTCTCACTATAATTATAATTAGGGTACCAACACGTATCAGGCGATAATTTACATAACTTAGGTGCATCTCAACACAAAAGACTTTAAAAGATTCGTCTTCTGAGTAAACAAATATTTTGCATTTTGTTCCCCCTCAGATCTTCTCTTCTGGGTAAAGTCCTAAGGATCAATGTCAATGACAATGACAAGGGACCTCCCTACCGTATACCACCCGACAACCCCTTCCTGCGAGAACGCACAGCCCGTCCGGAGGTATATGCCTACGGGGCCAGGAACATGTGGCGCTGCTCGGTGGACAGAGGTGATCCGGTCACTGGGAAAGGACAGGGACGGATTTTTTGCGGTGACGTTGGACAGAACAAGTTCGAGGAGGTAGATCTCATCCAGAAGGGTGGCAACTACGGCTGGAGAGCCAAGGAGGGATTCTCCTGTTATGACAAGAAGCTTTGTAACAACGCATCTCTCAGTGAGTCACCTAACAACTGCATCATTATTAGAAACCTGGATGGAGATAAACGCAGCTCAATGTTGACCGCCTCTAAAAATGCTAGTTTCCTGGCTGTTTCTGGCTTCAATACATTGTCAGTCACTGATCTAGAACAAACAGAACCCCTGATATACATACTTGTATCAGGTCAGTGGCTCAGAAAGTAATGGAACCAGAGGATTAACATGACAGCCAAGCATTAGCATCTTTAGAAGGAGAAATCCATAATGGCAGCCTCCAAATTTCTCTTAGTACAGGCTTCCTATGAACGTGCTGTGGTGTGATATGTGGGACTTGTAACCCTTGTAGTGTGAATCCTTTCTTTGTTACATGTCCAGGCAGCACAGGTATGTTTAATCTGTTGTCAGCTATCAGGGCCACACAGTGATGAGACCCATTCACTAGCATCTTATATAAGCTTGAATATGGTCATATAAATTCAAGCCATTAGCATTTTTAAATCTGCATCTTTCATTAAAATAATAATGGGTGATCCTGCCATAAAGGTCCTTGTTCAGGAACTTCCTATTATAGTCCCTGCCCAGTTGTGCATTGCCACTAGGGTTGCTACCGTTTCCTGAAGCGTAAACCAAGCGCAGCGACGCACAGAATGAGTGGCAGCTTATTCATATGGAAATATCACAGACTGAGACTATTTTCAGAGGGGGGCCAGTAGCCCCTATCGTAATTTTGGTTGCCTCTGTCTGCCTGACTTCTTGTGTCCTGGCTTCTGCTGCCATGAAACCCGGACACAACATTCAAAACCCGGACTGATTCCATGCAGTTATTTCTGGAGTGCTTGTATGTTGACAGGATGTTGCTTCAAAGAGGTGTCAGGATATCAGCAGCACTGAGACGTAAAAGGGACGAAAAAGTCTAAATTGTAAATTGTTTATGATACATAGTGACTTAGCAAACTAAATGTCTATGGGCTTACGGTTGCCACCTTTTCTTCAAGCGAAACCCGAACACTGTAGCAACGCGGGGACATTTTTTTGGGACCATGATTCGTAGCTTATTCAAATGTTAATAGTGTCACACATTCATATGTAAATATCACATGTGAGACTATTTTCAGTGCGGGGCCAGTTGCCTTTATCTTAATTCTGGTTGCCCCTGTCTGCCTGACATTTTGTGTCTGGGTTTCTGCTGCCATGAAACCCGGACACAGCATTCAAAACCCGGACTGTCCGGGTGAATCCTGGACAGGTGGCAACCCTAATGGGGCTCTTTTGCGCTGGCATGGCCTGCAAGGTTGGCTCTTTGAGGTCAGGGGAGGCAGAAAGAATAAGTCACTTTCTCTGAAGGTGTGCTTATTCTTTAACATTATTTGGGTGACTCTACTTTTTCATTTATTTATTTATTTAGATTGTTCATGGTCACGTTTCAGTTCAATCTTAATATTTGTGATCCTCTTTGGAATGAACTTCAGTATTTCATTGTCATTTAGGGGATTCAGTTATTGCTGTTTGCCTAAAATTCTGCTTTAAACATTGACTGAAGTTCATAACCTTCCTTGATCCAGTTAATAAATACATAACAAAAGAACCCGCAGGGAACTGATAGCCCAAAGCATGAGATAAATAGCCTTAATAAATCAGATCAGTAATAGTTAAAGCTTATAAACTGCCTTGATATAGCCATTGGTAACCATAAACGTCACTGAAGTCTAGTCGTCCGAAAGAGGGGATGATTAATTCTTCATAAACCTCTTTGGCAATAAATAGATAAAACCAATTGGAATTCATGAGCCGCCTTTGCAATAAAACAGCTCAGCTAAGGAAATAATTTAAAGATCCTCTAGTTCTGATGGGCTGCATGGCTGACCTCCGCTCCATAATACTTTCGGATCATCTTCAAGTGTCCTCTTGTAGCAGAAATACTGGAAATCTTCTTATCTCTGGGGAGGAAGCCCTGGCCAATTGTGTATCACTCTCCTTGGTGGAGGTGCCAAGGTAGAGGTATTTTGGAAGTTCCAACAGCAGGTGATAACAGCATCCTTATATCATTGCAAGACCCTCCACCCCTGATACAAAGCTGGAAACCGATAAATCAAATGTTACAATTTGGAAGAGTCATATAAGCATTGGGGATATCCTAATACATTTATTACAGATGAACTCTAGGCAGATATTAATAAAAACATTATTTAATTCAATGTATCTCATATATACAGAATGTATTTAGCTGTTTGGTCACCTTTAAAGTGGAAGTAAAGCAGGAAAAAAAGGGGGCCCCAGAAGCTTTTAGCCACACTGTGGTAGAATGCTGGTGTTTGGAGATGCTTGGCTGCTCAGACACCCAGTGCTGTCACATGGATCATGGGAACATGGCTGCTGGTAATGCTGAACACCCCATCCTACTCAATGCTTCTTTCACTTCTAAGAAGTTTTTCTCAGCAACCAATCAGATTCAAAGCTGCCTTGATAGTTTGAATGCTATTGGTGATGCAGGAAACAGAAAGAGAGAGAGAGAAAGTACAGCATAGGCTTCAGGAAATAAATACTTACTGCCCACCTACCAGGGGAACCTTTGGCCTGGAGGTCTAACACAACCTACTGACCCCTCCATGGTACGGAGAGATTTCGGAGTGTACCGTGGTACCTCAATGATCAGTAGGCATGGTGAAAGGCGGAAGTTCCTAAAAGACCAGCTTCTTTTATGGCTTTCTGCATTCGGTCACATGACATCTCAGAGCCTCGAAAGTAGTTGGTGCTGGAAGACTTCCCTCTGCTAGACACTGTGAGGGGAATTTATCAAAACTGGAGCAGACAGAAGCTGGAGCAGTTGTCATGGCAACCGGTCAGCTTCTCTCTTCAGTTTGTCCAATGACGATTTGAAAATGAAAGAGAGAAGCTGATTGGTTGCCGTGCACAGCTGCTCCAGATTTTGTCAGCACCAGTTCTGAGTTGCCAATTCCAATCAGATTCTCTCTTTCATTTTTAAAGCTTAACTGAACAGAATGAAGAGAGAAGCTGATTGGCTGCCATGGGCAACTGCTCCAGATTCTCTCTGCTCCAGTTTTGATAAATTCCCCCCCCAGTGATCGCAAATCTAAAAATGACATATTCCAGATACACAAACTGCACTGAGCATACGCACACACTTAGATTCCACACAATCATCTGTCACACAGAAGCACAATGCAATCATTCCAAAGTCTGTAGCATATTACAAAATTACAGGAAGGAAGTTCATATTTGCTCGTGCCTGGGTGTATGACAAAGTCATATAATGCCACGTCACAGGGTATCAACACATCTGTTGCATTAAAATAGCAGGTCACATGTGTTTCTATTCAGGGCCCCTTTGTTGCTGTAACCAATGAATTATAATGAGGATTTTGAAATAACCTTTTTGTATGTGCCAATATTTCCAGTTTATCGTACTAGAATTCTAATACTTTTCTCATAACACTGATTCAGAAGAAGCCAAAAAAACAAAACAATCCTGCAGTTTCCATGCAAATATCTTCACAATGGACAAACATTTCCCTCTTAATGATGTCAATAAAAAGCAGGTTAATTCTCTATCAGTCCCACTGATGAATCCAACCCATTACAGATAGAGATCTCCAGTAAAAAAGGCAACCAACCAACCAACCAACCACCAAGTGGTTGTAGTGCCAGCAATGTGCACAGAGCTTTACAAAATATAGGGTGGTAGTACAGGTACAATACAATGCAAGACAAGAGGGTTAGGTAGGCCCTGCTCGTGAGAGCTTACAATCTAAAAGGGAGGTCCAAGTGATACAAAAGGTAGTAGTAAGCGTGAGGAGATGAGTTGATGGGAAAGGTAAAGATTCTTGTTAGGTAGAGCCAGGGCAGGCTTACCTGATTAGAAGAGTTTTTAGGGAGCAGAAGGTACCTGGAGAGACCGAGGAAGGAAGTTCCAGAAGATCGAAGAGGCTCTAGAGAAGTCCTGGAGGTGAACATTAAAGGAGACGATAAGATCAGGAGGATAGAGAGCAGGAGGTCTTGGGAGGAGCAAAGATGATGGTTAGGGTGAGAATTTGAGACAAGGTTGGTGATGTAGCTTGAGGTAGATTTGTGGATGGCTTTGTATGTTCTTGTTAGTATGATGATTTGTATTCATTGGGTAATTGGAAGCCAGTGGAGGGATTGGCAGAGAGGGTCAGCGGGCACTGAGAGGTTGGTTAGGTGGATGAGCCTGGCAGCATAATAGACTGAAGGGGGGATAGTCTGTTTTGACGTTGGTCAACTTAGGAAGGAGTTATAACAGCCAAGGCGAGAGATAATAAAAGAGTGAATAGGTATATTGGTGGTGTCATTGGTAAGGAAGGAGTCTGCATGTTCTTCCCCTTATCCATTGTATGGGTGTCCACCTGAAAGCATAGCAATAGCAGTATTTCACCAGCCTGGTTAGACCCCACAGAGCCCTGGTTAAATCAGGGCTTTGTAGGTCCTCACCAGGGCTCTGTGGGGTTTAACCAGGACTGGTAAGACCCCATAGAACCATAGTTTAACCAGGGCTCTTTAGGGGTCTCCCCAGGGCTCTGTGGGGTCTCACCAGACTGGTTAAACCCCACAGAGCCCTGATGAGACCCCACAGGCCTGAGTGGGGCCTCATGTTTAGGTTTCGCCTAAGGCCTCGCAAACTCTAGAGCCGCCTCTGATGTGACCGGTTACAGTAACTAAATTACATGTTCAGAAGTAAAGTGAACAGCAAAAGAGAGTGAAAAAAAGGTGCCCCGGATTTTGTAGCCATCATGTGCTAGTATGAGCTGCATATTAGCACATCATGGCAGACTTACCTGCCAAAGCAATCTCCATCAGCGCTGTGTGTGCTCCATCCTTGCTCACTGGTGCTGCCATCTTTGTCCCAGTCTTCTGGGTTTTGAGTCTTCAGCTGATTGATTGGCTGGCCCCCATTGACATAACTGCCGCACATGCACACAGGAGTTATTTTGTCTCGGCATGTCGAGCCTGTGCACTGAGCTGTACAGGAAAAAAGTGACTGACATGCAGCAAGACACTTTTATGGACGAAGATATTTACACAGTATCTTCTGTCATAGAAAGCCTGCTGATTGGCAATTTTAATTTTTAACTTGACTTCCACTTTAAAGAAAACTCGGGGCAACATTTATATTGCCCCTTGCAGTGGGACTACCCCCACACTGCAAGGGTTAACCGCTCGTTCTGGTCTAGGGAGGAAAATAGAAAGGTTATACTCGCCCGAAACTCAGAGCCGGCCGGCTGTGACAGCATTCCCTCCTGCCTGTGTCCTCCTCCACTTCAGCGATGGACTGTGCCTTGGTGTGCTCACGTCCAATACACAATGGGTGGGATATATCAAAACATGAGCAAACAAGATCTGGAGCATTTGCCCATGGCAACCAATCGGCTTCTCTCTTCAGTTTGTTCAGTTAAGATTTGAAAATTATAGAAAGAAGCTGATTGGTTGCCCTGCACAGTGGCTCCAGATCTTGTTTGCTCCACTTTTGATAAATTACACTCAATGTATAGAACGTGATGACGCAGGGACCTTAGACCGCGGCAGCGGAGGGAGAGAGGCTGAAAGGAGGATCAGCTGATTATAACTTTGTATTTTCCTCCCTAGACCAAAACAAGCACTTAACCTTTGCAGGTCAGGGGTAGACCCACTGCAAGGGTTAATAAAAATGTTGCCCGGAGTTCTTTAAATCCACTCCCCCCTCAAATCACCGGCTCTGGGGCATATTATTCCATGTGCAATCAAATCAGGCCAGAAAATTCTATTGGGGAGACCTCTGGTGGTAGAAGAAAGTATTGTTTACCTGTATAATACATGATGCTGCTTTTCAATGGATTGGGGGAAATCATCGGTCTTATTCTTTCAGAGTACTTTGGCATAAATTGAATTTGGATTTATATGCATACAACATGTCCTAATTTTTTCAGTGCATTGGCGTTAACTTGAGTCATAGGACACAAGGCAAATGACCTTGTTCTTGGGTTGGGGCTGCACTAAGTATCGCTGCCCAATGCTAATGCTCAGTTGCTTATGAGTATTCTTTTAGGATGGAGAGAATAGTGTACTGCACATATGCTCACACTTTGCCGAGTGGCTCTTGTGCTATATCTCGTGCTTTAAAACCTGATTTTTCTCTTCAGAGACAGGCGATGCCTATGAGTACCCCACACATGTGTCATATAGGTATAGTGTTTGATGACACGACTACAGAAACCGATAAGTTATACTTCTCAGTAATCTAGACATCATTCAACTCTCTATGTTAGTGATTTTATATCAGTGTTACTTTGTGTCTTTGTTATCCAGCATTGTGACGCCTCTAATCTTTCCATTCTTCTTTTAGATGACATATTACCGATATTTGCCTATCCTCATTCCGTGGGGAAGTCAGTCACTGGGGGTTATGTCTACCGTGGATGTCAAATGCCCAACCTCAATGGGCGCTACATCTTTGGAGACTTCATGAGCGGGTAAGAGCGCATCTCAGAACCTCTAGTACTAGGGTAGCCAAACTTCTGCCCTCCAAAGTTTGCCTGCTCTAGTCTCTAACAGACAGACACAAAGCATAGTGCAGACTTGACTTTGCACCCTTTTATAACCATTCCCACTAAGAAAGACACAAGGGCACTTTCATTTCTTGTGACTACATGGCTCCTTACCATGCATCCAATTCATTGCTCCTCCTGGTGACACACACAGGGCAAGAAGCATAATGTAACATCCGTATTAATCACACTCGTATTTTGCTTTGCTCCAGACGCCTGATGTCCTTAAAAGAGGACAAGGATGGCCAGTGGCAGTACACAGAGCTCTGTATGGGACCAGCGCGGGACTGCAACTTCCCCAAACTCATCAATGGCTATTACCCATATATCATATCGTTTGGAGAGGATGAGGCAGGTAACATTGGGGAACGGTCTATTTGGGATAAAGATAATATATATGTATAGGTAAGGTTTTATAAAAGAACAATAGAGAGGATCTAAATGGCATGCTTAGAAGAGTTGCCAGTACTAAATGTGCATTGGCTAAGTAGTCACATCTGTTACCTTGGGTGAATGGCCCCTAGTTTAATTTTCTACCAGGACACTATCTGCATGGAGTTTGTCCTCATTTCTGTGGGTTGCTTCTCCATGTTACCTTTTTTTTTTTTCTACATTTGGAATTAACCTACATTTGGCCCATGTGCATATGAGACTGTAGTAGAGGCATTCGACTGTATGTTCCTTTGGGGCAGAAACGAATGTAAATAACAAATTGATTATCATAAAACACATAATAAATATGTAAAGGGCAAACCACAACATTCCATAATAAATCTGCAAGAAGAATAACTATGTACCAAAGTCTTCTTTCTGTTGTGGGGGACATTATTTGGAAGAGATTGTCGGTACATGAGATTTCAAGCCTGGAGTATTCCCATAAGATATATTTGGAGAAACATCAAAGCTGAAATAAAATATCAAATACTTCATGTCAATATCCTAATATAATGTACTCTTCCCAGTATTTAGATCTGGCGTGTGACACGGCAACTGTCACACACCGGCTCTATAATTGGTGAGATGAACAATCACATGACCGCTGATCGCACGGTCTTCTCACTGCAGAGAGCGGTGACCGTCAGTCACAACTCCCCACATTATTATCCCCTCTCCTCTCTACTACTACAGTGTTCATCGGAGGGACAGACAGAGGAGGGAGCGGGCACAGCTGTCTCTGACTCTAGAGAGGCAGAGCCAGCTGTCAATCAGGCAGCAGGGAGGATTCTGACAATATTGTCAAGATCCTTACTGGCTGCAGTACGGCTCTGCGCTGTCAGCATATAGTCGGCTTTCTCCTGTGGCCCAAAAAAAACTAAAACCGAAAAAAAAGGTTTGGCTTTAGTTCTCTATTAAAATAGGTCTATGGATAGACTAGGTAAAGAAGGGAATGGGTGCTATTAAGTGACCATTGGATTCGATTTTGTCATACAAACATACTGTTTACCATCTGTGTATCACCAATCACGCCTAAAACACTTGAGATTTTTATTGTGCAGAACGTTCAGCAATTGTTGACTTAAAATACATATTTTCAGTATAATGATCACTGTATCACATCAATGTTTTTTCTTTTTTTCAGGAGAACTCTATTTCTTGTCTACTGGGACACCCAGCGCGGCAGTGGCTGCAGGAGTCATGTATAAAATAGTGGATCCATCCAAGTAATTGACTGCTTGCATAATTATTAACTGGGGTGGCCAAAGAGAGGGGTATACAGTGTAGCACTGATTAATAAAAAAAGATAGCGATATAACATAATAGAGGATGCCATCTATCACACTTCCAAATAGTGTTCCCCCTTCTATTGGTTGGTAGAAGAGGAAGTGATGTTTAAAGGGATCCGAGATGTGCTTTTGTAAAGATTCGGATTTTGTGGCCAATAAACTCTGCACTTCATGGCTGTTAGAAAACTAGAGAGGGCAGATGGAGTACTGTTCATCAGTATACATAGTATGATAACACAACTACACAGCTAGAGAGTTTACCCTTTGATAAGATCACCTCTTGCACACAGAACATTTTTCCTGTTTTAGTGGCTCTAATCTTATTTAGAATATTATAGCAATGCATACTCCTTATATGAGATGTAGTGTTTCTATCAATTCATTGAAAGAAAAGAACCAGTGACTGAACATTACACAAAGAAAAGTAACCTCTGGCGCTTACAGGGTAGAGGCCTACACTGCCTAATCATATATCTAGTTTTGGTTACATACGATCTATAAATGGTGCAGCTGGTCGGATGATGGAAAACCGCTAACAAATGCAAGATGAGGACTCGCATGAGATGAACAAAGAGAGCTATTGCAGGACTGACATTAGATTTGTGTCAGGACGTGAGCGGAGCAGTTGAAGGAGTGAACTTAAAGCTGTCTAAGTACAGACTGGGGAGTGATTTATGACCTTTAGAAAGTGCATCTGGGGAATTCCAAGTATAGCACTAGATAGTCTTGTCATAGGTGTGGTTGATTAATTGAGAATGTTTTATGAACTGTATGTTTCTGTGTCACCAGGAGAGCTGCTCCAGGCAAATGTCCTCTCAATCCTCGGTCCGTCCCTGTTAAGGGGAAACTAGTGGATTTCTATCCAAGGCAAAGTAAGTAATGCTCTATAGATATGTATTATTACACAAACTCTCATCTATGAAAGATTGAAAGATGAAGAAGGAAGTGCGTGTTAAAAATGACTGTAGCATCAGCCCTTTTAACTTTTAGGTTGGGCCTTGGTTGGTCCATGGAACATACTGTATTCCTTTAGGGGGTCATACCCAAAATAGACATTACAGTTTTAAGGCATGTGAGTTTAATTAGGCAACACTGAGTGCTCTCCATTTACACAGTGCTGAGGCTGCAGAAAAAAGAGATTGAGGACTCCGTGTCCTCAGTTTCTTTTTCTGTTTCAAAATGGAAATGTCAGGGGTCTGATATTTTACCGATGCCCCCCTAACAGTAAAAAAAAAAACCACACAACAAATTCAATTCCTCCCCCCACCCCCCCCGCACACACACGCATATTATTAGACATGTGCAAAGACTAAAAATTTGCCATCCTGGAGACATGACGACACATGGGCGGGTCAGGTGATGTCACATGCCTGTTGGGGGGCACGATTTTCTGTTCTTGCCTCGGGTCCAAAAGGAGCTAGCTACGGCTCAGGGTATATGAAACCAGTAGCTGGGTCCATCCATAGCTAACATGTCAGTTTTTGGTGGACTAACCCTTAAACTACCCATAAACAAAACTATTCAATAGCATTAGTATAAAAATAGTATCTATAATGTACCGTTTTTTTTAATTGATGTATTTTTCTGTAGATGTTTTCACATGAGATTCATTATTTCTAAACATTTGAAATCTGTTTTTTCTTTTATTGTCCACATTTAAGAACTCATTCTTAAAACCACCACTGAATCCCCACCAACATCTCCTTCATCAAAAACCCTGAATCCAACCAGATACAGTACAACTATAGAGCCTCACGTCACAGTCACATCACCTGTCAGAAAGTCAAGCACGCCTGCTTATGTTACTGCTGCCCCAGTTCCTAGGCCAGCAACTCCAAGAAGAACGGTCACACCTGCACCAAAGCCAGAGAAAGGTACGGTGGCTAAGAAACCGGTGAAGGTCACTGTCACCTCAAGGCCCATGACAAATCACTGGATCCCGACCAAAGGATGGCAGAGTGAATTGAAAGATTTGTTCATCACAAGAACAAGATCACCAGCCTCTCCAATTTTTACCACAGGGCAGCCGTCTAGGAGAAGAACCCAGCCAGGGGGAAAAACTGAACCCAAAAAGAGTCCTGGGATAAGGAAGACCAAGAAAAAAGTTATAAAAAAGCAGAAAGTGAAGGTGGTGAAGAAAATCAAACACGGAACCGTGCGTCTTGTTAGTGAGGAAAAACTGCCCGACCGAGGAAGAGTGGAGATTCACGTAAATGGAGAGTGGGGAACAGTCTGCAACGACAGGTTTGATAGTAAGGCTGCTTCAGTGGTTTGTACCCAGTTGGGGTACCCTTATGTGTTGAAGGTTGCCCGAAGAACAGAGTTTGGTGAAGGCAAAGGACTGAGAATCCTTCTAGATGAGGTGAAATGCCGGGGGCACGAGAGAACGCTCCTGGAATGCCAAAGGTCAAAACTTGGCGAACACGACTGTACTCATGACGAGGACGTTGGCATAGTGTGCGGGATGCAAGAGAGGCAGGAAGAGGAGTTTACGTTAACTTAAAGGGACTCAGACACAAAGCAAGATTGAAATGTTGTACAGCAGACTGAAACAATGAAGAATCATTTTACCTTCATGCAATAGGTGCGCCGTGCGTAGGAAACCAGCAATTAAAAATGTTTGCGTGTCCATTGAATTCTTCAAGTCTCCAGTAGAAAGCTGTACAGAACGGGCAACTACCCTGAACACAGCAACACGATATTTGACATCTAACCAAATAATTTCTACAATGTCTTCTAACGCCAGGAACAGAGGAAGGATGTTACTATTTTTTATTTACATTTAAAATATTATTTTTTGCTTTTTAAGAAGTGCCAGGTTTGAAAGTAAGGCTACTTCAGTGGTTTGTACCCATTCGGGGTACCCCTTATGTGTTGAAGGTTGTGCGAAGAAAATGGTGCTCTCAGATATCTAGAATTCATGAGTAATAGAAGCAATCGGATACACTTCTGGTTAAAAACATTCTTTTAAATGAAAGTCACAATTCTGGGCAACTGAATGAAATATTGTTACTGAACCTTTGAGAAGGCAAAGTCAGTTACAGTCATAAGACTTAAAATCTGCAGCCTTTGCAGTAAAGATGACTTCGATTGGAGAAGTGGTTGTGTCCCACCAGCTGGAAAGGACATTCGTATAGAACATGGACCTTTTACATACACAGCAGGTCTGTGCTGTTTTTATGTTTCTCTATAGGGGCGCCAGAGACTATCTCAAAAAACTGCAGCTTCTCTTCCTCAATGTAAAAGAATAGGTTAAAGCAACTCTCCTTTACTGAACAGTTGTTCCAGGCAATGCACGGTCAGCTCTTCTGTAGTGGTTGGAAGGTGCAGATGGTACATGCATTCCCCTCATGTCAGGCTTATGAACACAGCACGTGTCAATAGACACATTGGTTCCTTACTCAGCACAAATTGTTGCCCAACTGCAGACTGGATGTTAGAACAAACTAACAAAAAATTGCTGTCTTAGCAGTTATAAGACTTTGTTAAAGTGGACTGCAGTGTGTTGCACAGCTTTGACAAACAATAATTAGGTTTAGCTCATCAGCTAGTCCCTTTGTGTCATGACTGCCAGTCGTTTCATATGTTAAAGGGACCTTCCTTCCATTAAAAAAAAAAAAGAAAATCAAAGTGCCACTTCTAATGGCCTGCAGTGCAGTTCATAGTTTAGAACGAATCTTTTGTATGACAGCTAGGACTTAGTTTAATGCATGGGTAAAAATACAGCAGTAATCTGGGGTTGCTGAAGTCCCTCATCCCTACCCCTTTGAAGAATTGCAGGGACAGCAGGCTGTCTTGTGTGTTGTGTTTTATCTTATTGTATGTATGTTCAACAGTATTAAAACCCGAGTATGATAAAATATATTTAGTTGTTATGTGATGACTATCATCTGGAAAGTACTTGTCCTACTCTTCCAAAGGCAGAGGAAATTGACATTGTAGCACCCTGTAGTGGTAGGATGCTGCTACTAAAATCAAACAAAAAAGTGAAATTTTGTTAGACATGGAGATCTAAGGACGGTTTTTTATATTCTGGCAGAAGCTGGGGCATATATAGTACTTTGAAACCCACCTGTTAAAAGGACATAGAAGGTACTGCCCATGTGCTCACTCCTGGCGATGAGAACACCCCAACTTTCTCAGATGAGAAAGGGGGACACCTTCCAGCTCAATGTATGTAGTCTAGAGACCTTTCCCTGCTACATCCTAGTTATTCGGACCATGGAAAATGGAATGAATGGATAATAAATGAATGGTTAAACCCACGCGTGCCTTTGTCCAGCACTACTTCTCCTTTATACAGTAAGCTCCCAGTTATCCGGTACCCATGGGGATTGGAAGATGCTGGATAACTGTAGTTTCTGGTTGCTTCAGAGTTACTATTAACTCTCAAGCAACAACCCCACCCCATTCATATGCTGGCTAGATTCTGCTATTGACTATTTCAAATTGCCATAGCCAATAGCAGGCTGGCTACTGCCCGTTGTTTAAATTCACCTCCCTGCCCGTAGGCCAGAGCAAGATGTAAGCAGATAATTCCGTTAGCAACTAAATGAATGTAGTTGCTAAAAAAGTTTGTTAGTGTGCACACGTCTAACATGCAACTGGCAAAAAAAAAGGCTGATTTTTTTTTTCGTGTTAAAGCTGCACTTGGGCTGTATAGCTGAAATCTTCACTCTTACACAGTTGTACAGACTTCTCCCCGGGACTGAAATATCTTTTTCTGATTTCACTGCACACTGTGAGCTCCTAATTGTTTGCATTAGAAGCTGCAGCAAGTCAGATAGAGCTTGTCTCATTTCATGACCAGAGGACATCCAGCCTTTTCCTCCCCAGTTTTAGGGCCCAGTCACACCATATCCATTATGTTCTGGTGCGGTACGAGTCCTGAACGCACTGGATCGCATAGATCAAGCTGCATGCAGTATTTTTTCAGATGGCACTGCACTGGAACAGAGGGCATTCCTGTACCTCGCGGTCCGGTGCGATTGCACTGCAAGCGGAGGGCGTGTCGGCAGTGCCATTGACATGAATGTTACTGACACGCCCCCTCCCGCCCCAGAACGCTGCACGGGCTTGGGTGGGTTTGGGAAGGCACTGGATATGGCGTGGCCGGGCCCTTACTGTCCCGTGTCTTGCCCCATTCTTACTGTCTTGGTCTCAATCATTCGGGCTCAGCCTTACATGTGGGCTTTAACTAGGGTTGTCTGCATGAAAATGCAGTTCGCGCAGAAATGACCCACCCACCAACGCATTTTCATATTTGCAAAACTTCTCCCAAAATCCAGCTGCCACTGTTTGCATCAGGACTGGAGATTCTTGAGAGGAGTACCGAGAAATGGTGCTGTGATGTATTCAGGAAGCTATATACACAGCACCCTGCTTGCCCCTCCCACCAGCCATGATCTGCCTGCATTGCGCAACAAACCGCAGAGACCTGGTGATGACATAACTGGGTCTAAAATAAGGTATGTAATGAAAACGTGTTTTAATTAAAAATATCATTAGCATGTAGGAGGAGACGGAAGGAAACAGGGAAGGCAATATACAAGCAGAATAAATTTGCACTCAATATATTGTATGTGTTCACTGAGAAATAGTTTCACGTGACCACTAAAAAGTCTTTCAGAAACCGTTTTAAAAGAAATGAACTCACAAGGTTATGAGAGTGACTAACATTTTATTAAAATATGTATACTGCATGAACATCAGTCAGGGTGAGAATACACAATTAACAGTAAACAATATCAGCAAATGCAATAAGTTATTGAAATGCCGCCGCTCCATCATTCGAGGAGCAGAATCAGTCCATAATTTATCAACCTTCTAAAAACTTACTGCAATCTGTATGTTAATATCTGTCACTGCAAACTGATCTAATGTGGGCAAGTCAGATCATAACCGTGGGAGGCACCAATACTGCGCGATAGATAAATGAGCTTCCATTACCAGGCTTGTCTATACATGTGCCAGTGTTCAAGCAGTGTGTCTGTTTACAGCACAATCTAAAGCCAACCTGTATTCTGTCTTTGGGATGAAAGTATTGCCTAAAGTGACACAAAACTCAGGAGTTAAATCTTAAAATTGCATTCAAGTACCTTAAGCTACAAATATATCTTATTTGTGTATCTCTCAGCTGTAGATCCTCAAACCATCTCTGAATTGGTGCCGACACTGTCCTTCCTTCTGGAGGGGGGCTACTTCTGTTCCCCATGGTTCTTGTGTGTGTTGTAAAGTAGTCACCACTCCAAGCTCGCTCCAGTGATGGGCTACAATCTCATGTTCAGTTTACTCATCTGTATTGAGGAAATGAGTGCCCTGTTCAAAAGATTTCACCTCACTTTCTGTCCATGTGACAATTGGCTTTTGAAAATGTTGGGTTGTCGTGCAAACAAGGATTGGTGATAAAGCTTCAGTGGAGACCCCTTTTTCCCATGATAACTCTTACAGGAGTGAATTTCCCTTCCTAGGTGTAGGTTTCCTCTCGCTTCCTGTTGTCTTCCTAATGAGGATACAGACAGCAGTAAAAACCTCACAGTGACCCGGAAGAAGAGGTGGGCACCCCTCGTCTGCACGTCTAACAAGAGCCAACTTCCTGTAATGTACGTACAGTACTACGAACCAGATCCACAAAAGCGGGCACTCCTCATGGGCACTACTGAAATGCTGCGCGGTACACTTTGGCTGCATCCTGGGACCCCCTGCTGTGCAGTTATAGCCCCCGTTTGGAAGTAGGGGTCGAATGTAAGTCGGATGTTTGTAACTCGGGGACTGCCTGTACTTATAAATATTACTTATGTGTTCCTTCTGTGTGTTTACGCACCTACATTGTTTAGAGGTGTATGCACATAAACTAACTCTATTGGCTGGAATATTCCATTTATTCTAGACACTAGAATGAATTTAGGTGCATACACGCATATGCTTCTCTCTGAACGCAGGTTCGGGGCATTTTCTTATATCCCCCGGAATGCTGCTCTAAAATACAGATCTAAATGCTACATGTGTATGGACACACTGGCTTATATAGCGCTGCTTTCAGATGCATAAAACAAATTAATTCCTCCACAAGCTGCATTTTCTTTTCTGCCCATGAGGCCTAAGGCAGTGCAACGGAGAAACCTCATATCAGATTTCAGTTCAGAGCTTAAAGAGCAATGAAAGATGGCCTCTGATTGGTTACTTTGGGTGACTGCATTCCATTCTTTGCCCTACTGTAAATCTCTTACTGGTCATTATGTAAAGTAGCAAAAGGAAAAAGGAAACATTAGAAGCTTTTTTTTTTTTACAAGGCAGTGGAGAATCCAATCAAAAACATTTTGTTAATGACCTGACTCCGGTATGTTGAAATCCGATTGGTCGCTATGCAATAGTGTACTTTACACATCATCAGTATCTGTTTAAAGTGCAACTGAAGCCAAAACTTTTCTTTTTAATTTCCTATATGGAGAGGGATTAGAACACCAGTCAGGTTTTTAGTGCAGTCTGTGTCCCCATTATAGAGATTCACCCGTGCTACAGGTTCTGTCGACCGTTATCACTGAAAGTAAGAGAAAATTCCAAATTTTGGGTTGTCATCAGAACAGGATTAGATGGGAATTTTCCAATGGGGACATTTATTCTGGTGACCCTACTGACCACCATAGATTTTTCTCTATTTGGGGGATTGCCCATCACTTCCTGTTGTGGCTATTAGACAGGAATTAAAAGGGAAATCTCACCCGATGGCAAACATTTTTACAAAAAGGTTTGGCTTCAGTCCTTCTTTAAATAAATCAGATGCTTTTAATTGTAATGTTATATAACACAACACTAATATCTTCATAAATCCACAGTGTGACCGGTACATTCTCACCCAGCATAAACAACAAGTCCCTTCTTCCGCTTTTGCATTACACAGACACAAAATGCTTGCTAATCAGATTTGACCTTACTGATTTATGAATGGTGCTGCTGGGTCACTGTATCCTCTTTGCTATTTGCACTTCATTACTGGGAAAGTATAAAAAAAAACATAATATAAAAAACAACATACTTTTATAAATACATTGCGGAATGTCTGAACATTTTGGCATTTCTTAAATTTACAAAGATTGGTTGCGGAGATCACCGAATGTAAAGATGCTACTAATAACGATAATCTCACAATTCCCTTCTTTTGTGGTAAAACTACCACAATTATCCAATATCAAAAAATAAACAAATCCAGAAAGTGCAGTAAACAATTACAGCCAATCGGAACACAATAAACTGAAGCCAGGTTGGTGGCTTTGGACAACAACACTTTTTACATGATCTTTTCTTTATAAAGCTTTACTAAATAAGCTCAAATAAAATATTTTACTTATGTTTCATGCCAGGCTTTTCATAGAGTTTCTAGAGCTAAAACAACACTTAATGGTATTCAGTACAATTGTATCGCCTCATTGTTCCTCCTTCTCTTGATTTGTTTTGTGACTTGTATGATGTCTGATCCTGCCCAAACTGTCAGGGTCAGGCAACCATCCAAATATATATGAACTACCACAGGCTGCAGTAGACACCCATGGTCGACCAAAATGTCAGGGCAAGGCAACCATCTCAATACCTATTGACTACCACAGGCTGCAGTAGACACCCATTGTCGACTAAAATGTCGGGGTCAGGCAACCATCCCAATATCTATGGACTACCACAGGTCACAGCAGACACCCATGGTCAACACCCAAGGGGGAAAAAAATAAAATTTGGATGTTTTTTTAGAGGATAGTTATTTTATACAGCTGTTAATCTGGGCCCAAATGTCCATGTGGCTTCCAAAAGCAAAGATTGCTTAGAATTTAGTTGACCCCAGCCTCCCACACATAACGTTTATGGTCACCTTTAGGCCCTATTGTATAAGCAGGAACCAAATAGTTCAATAATTCAGACAAGTCCTCAATACAACATAAAAATGGAGACTTGTCAGATTATGTCATGACTTTGTACACAGGTATCTAATACATGTCTGTATTAGGTACCTGTGTGGTTTTAAGGACAAGATCAGTCCCTCAGCACAGGCCGCAGCAGACACCCATGGTGGAAAGCCAAGAGAAAAGTTGGATGTTTTTTTAGATGATGGTATTTCCTAAAGTTGTTGAATTTTCGGGCCAAATGTCCACATGGCTTTCTAGAATTTAGAATGCTTGACCCCGGCCTACCACATATAACTTTTATGGTCACCTTTAGGTCTTCTTGTACAAGCAGAAAACAAAAAGTTCAATTCAGACAAGTCCTCAATACAACAAAAGAAGAGAGACTTGTCAGATGTTGTTTTGACTCATTGTTTAAGTATATCGATCTCCTTGCTGACCCTTTCCTGTCAGAGACAGTGTCATGTTTGTAGACTTTGTACATAGGTATCATATACATGTCTGTATTAAGAGAACTATGAGGTGAGAGCTTTTCACTCACCTCATAGTTCTAGCCGACCTGTGACAATGAGACTGTCACAGGTCGGCTCAGTAGATCGGGAGGTGAGCGAACACATACCGGCGTTCGGTCACCACTCGATCCTATCACAGCCCTCTGCCGTGACAGGGGAGGGGCTGGATTTCCCCCTCCCTGCTCCGCCAGCGCTGACTGGCAGATCGGACGGGGGAGGGGGCGGGTACAGCTGGCTCTGCCTCTAGATAGGCAGAGTCAGCTGTCACTCACGCAGCTGGGCGGATCCAGACATAATTGTTGGGATCCGTTTCAGCTGCAGCGTCTCAGTATACCGCGAGCAGTAGCTTACGGTATACTGAGCTTAGGGTGACGGGAGGACGCTAGTTTGTGTCCTCCCGTTACCCTAAGGAGAACTATGGGGAAAAGCCTTTAAGTACCTGTGTGATCATTCCCTCAGCACAGGTCCGAAAGACTTACATTGGAAGGTGCGGATCTTTAAATAATAAGATAATTCAAAGAAATCAGATAGAATAAGTCCTCTTTTGTGTCAGAAAATAACAATCTTGAATACAATAAGTTGAAATATAAATGTTAAGATTACTATGATAATTTCAGTAAAGCTGAACTCCTGGCAAATACGGAAGACACAAATAAATGCAGCTCTGCAATCTCTCTTCTTTTTGTAAGTAATTTTGGATTTGACCTGGTATCAGCCTCTTGCAGTCCCTGTACAGCAGAGCTTTAGTGTGAGACTAAAAACGCAGCACAAGGAGACATTCAGTTTATGTGCTGACAAGAAAAATGCTGATAGGGGGAAAAAATCAGAGTGACAGAAAATCAGAGTGACAGAGAGATGAACGCATCAGTGTGCTTCTTCTCCTTTCATTGTCCAGTCACAGCCTTGGGTGGGTAAAGGAGGACCTGGGCTCAGAGAAAGTGGGTTAAATGATGTAGGCCATCCGACTGTAAACATCTGGTGACAGAAAAAAAGTATTGCAGGGGAATCTCTGGATTAAAGATGATTACAGCAAATCTGGTTTTATTATTCTATCTTTTAATGGGCTCTTCATTGTGTCTTGTTATTGTTTGCTGGAGTTCTGCTTTATTTGAAAAAAAAAGTGAATTTTTCATATTAAATTAAACCAATCACGTGCATTCTAAGTTATGGCAATTAAAAATGTCAATGTTTTATGTATAAAAATATTTCACATTTCTGTGATAGTTACATCAGTCCAAAGTGGAACTGGCACCAAAACCCATTTATATGGGCTACAAAACCTGAAGCAGGATGGCACAATGGCACGAGGTCAGTCAGGTCATATTGCAAAGAGTTTGGATGACAGTGAACATTGAATGCACTATAAACAGTATACTGTCCTTTTAAAAAAACCTAGTTGGCACCACAGCTCTCATCTGTTTAGGTTATCGATTGATGGAGGAGTAACCAATTTGAGTTGTTGTATTAAACGGTTTCTTAGGCTCAGGCTCCTTGGCAGTGGTAGAGTCCTGGGTCTCCAGAATGGGCTCCTGGTCTTCCTGGTCATGGAGGTGAGGGAGGTAGAAGAGGTCAGTGAGTCCATGGAGATCCGCCGCTTTGTGGAAGGTCTGAAGGACGAGCAGCATGGCCATAAGACCAAGAAAGAGGTAGACTGTTGGCAGAGAGAACACAAAACTTTATCAGGGAGGTTCTTTAAATGATCACTTCAAGGCGGACAAATTATAATAGGGAAGAAAAAAAATGATACAAGATGGTTTAAACTTTTAAAGCAGCAGAAGTGAGGAAGATAAAAAGGGACTACTTTATCAAAGTCAAAGCACTTGCTAGACAAGGTATAATGGGAGCCAATTGCTGCAATAGTTATGTTGTCAAACCCTAGATAGATTGTGTGTGTGTATACACACACACACACACACACACACACACACACACACATATATATAAAATCTAACATGCACTACAGCGGTAGATACATGTCAATTCTAAGAACAGATTTCTGGATGGTGACAACAATGGACATGCCTGTGTATTGTGCATCAACACGACTGCTTACAGTGTCCCTTAGGCGAGCATGTGAAAGGGTGACAACATAGAAGCCAATTGGGAGACAGGGGAAAAGCGCCATCACCCTATAACAGGAAGTGCCTCAACATGAACCTTCATGGCAGAATGACCAAGTATTAATTTTAAAAAAGCTGCTGATATAGATAAATAGAAAATGACTTTAGAAATTATATGAACATGGTAAAGCTTTAATTAAATGTTGAACTATTTGGATTACATATACTGTGAACCAGGGGTGGGTAAATTAATATGGAATGTAAGAGCTAGTCTGTCCAATCCAGGAGCCAGCAGGATTTGTTTTAGGAGTCAGCTCTATGGACACAATCCATCAGAAACCTCAAAAGTTTGGCTCCAGTTGTGAATTTTAAGGAGCATTGGCGACCTGGCTCCTGGGATTTGTCCAGCCCTGCTTTAAACAATCATGAAGCCTATAAAGACCTTCTGAGTAAGTCTGGCTAAAGTGAATAAGGGACAACTGCCCTCCCTGTCACAATGGCTTATACCAAGGGAGGAGATCTGTCTGGTACAAAGAATATCACACAGTTCAGGAACCCAGTCAAGTGTGTTTTATGAACTGTATGATCTTCCACTAACAAGACTACGTGCATGGTGGTGGGTGAATAACAAAGTAACAGCAGTCACATTTCAGACAAAAATGAGCAAAACACAATCCAATCTAGTTGTGAAATGAGCAATTTAATTTGGATATAAGTAATGCAAGATTCATGAACACCTCTCAATACTGCTTTGTTATTGATGCATTTCAGAAGAACAAAGGGAACCTGTAATGGTTTTAGGTCATATTTAGGATTGGGCAGGGTAGCAGCAACTTCTATTACGTTAGACCCCTTTCACACTGGTGGTCCGATTAGGTCTGCTTGTCAGTTTCCCAGACAGACCCGGTCATATGCCGAATGCTATAGTCTATGGTCGTCCGTTTACACCTGGGTACCCCCCCAGCTTCGGCTAGGTCCGGAAAAACAAAGGAACAGTGTTCAGTTTCGTGCCGGACCAGGGGTAATCTGATATAAACGGACACGTCTATTTACATCCAATTCCTCAGACGGATATGGGCTCCGGTCATTTCAGTTTATTTTTCCAAGATGCGTCTCAATTATACTACATTCTAAAACGTGCATTCCTTCTTAGCATTCTGACTGGATGCCAAAATATGTAAATCTGTAGCACATCCAGCCTAACTGATATATACAGAGAAAAAAAAAACGACAAGCCCCTCAGGCAGAGCATCTGCAATAGTATGTGACAATGCTTATCAGGGGGAAATCAACACCTGTTTCTAGAGATGAATTTCTGATTGTGTCTAAAATGTCTGAAGCATGCAAGTGGAAAGTGAAACTGCCTCAATGGAAAATGTAATTCCATTGTGCCGATTTAAAAGCAAGAAGAGCAAAACCCTCCTAGTCACCCGATCATCAAGTATGAATCTAAGGCTGGGCACACACCTTACAACCATCGCAAGACTTTGGTCTTGCGATGGTTGTAAGGTACTTAAAAAAACGTACGATCTGCCTATGTTGCATAGGCAGATCGTACTTGCGATGATCGCAAGCCACGCCCCCTGAGGGGCGGGCTTCCGATGACCGCAATGCCGAACGGGCAGTGTGCGCTTGCGCACACCAGCCCGTACGGCGGAGCTCGTACGGACATGCCACAAACCCGCCGAACATCGTACGATGCTCGGCGGGTTTTCGAACATGTCCGTAAGTTTAAAGTCGTGCGACCTTACAGTAGTAGAGGTCGCACGGCTTCCACACACCTTACGATCATCGTACGATCGCGGGATTTCCCGCGATTATCGTACGATCGTAAGGTGTGTGGGCACCCTAAGACAGACGCTTACATCTCACCATCTCACTGAGATGTGATGGCATCAAGCTCATCACAGGTTTAGAGTAAAAGTCATCATTTCTATACAATGGACCACTTACTGCAAATGTTCCCAAAGTCAAGTCACAGCAGGTCTGCAAATGTTGGGAGCTTGTAATGTCGATCAGCTTCACAAAGCTAACACATAAAGATAAGGATCTTTATATTTAGCCATGTGACTGTAATTTTCAAATCACATTGGATTCAGCTGAAAATAATCCTAACGCACTGAATTGTATCTCGGCCGGGGGGGCATGGCGGTGTATTGAAGTCAATGGCAGCGCAGCCACGTCCCCCGGCCGCAGTGCGATCGGCTGGACCAGAACGCGTGGCACATCAATGCCTGTATTGCAGTCTGATGTGGTCAGAAAAAAAAAATAGTGCATGCAACATTTTTTCTGACCGCACTGGACCGGAACGCAGCCATTGACGTGCCATGTGTTAGGGTGCGGCCGATCGCTCTGCGGCCAAAGGGCGTGGCAGCGATGCCATTGACTTCAATACACCTCCATGCCCCTCCCGCCCAAAACAAAGTGAGCCAACCGGGATGCGGTCCAGTGCGTTCCGACCAGAATCGGGCCGGAATGCACTGTGGCTGGTGTGAACTAGCCCTTAAAGTAAAGCTGGCCATACACTGGCAGATCATTGCAAGAACATTCAAGCAAAAATCATTTGATAATACCATCAGAGATTTGCCAAATGTCATTCAAAATTCCATTTCATTTTAACATTTGATTTTGGAATGAATGGCGTTTACATAATGAAAACCAGATTCACTGCTAGAATTTTGTTTGAGAACAATTTTCCATCCTGCTTCTTCTATGTGTTTTGATCACTATGGTCGACGATTGTTGATTTGACCCCATTAACTATTACAAAATCGAACATACGTTCTGAAAAATAGTTTTGCATGAAATTCTACTGGTATGGCCTGGTGTTTTAGCTTTGTGAACTGACCATATTGTGTTTTGTTCCTAGTGGGAGATTTATCATCCTAAGACCTAGTACACTTTTGCCATAAAAACCCAGTATAGGTTGCCCAACCCTTTCCATCTATGATGCCCCCACACAGAGCTCATATGTAGCATGGTACACCTCCCCACTGGCCAAGCTGGGCAGTGTTTTTATAAATTTTTCTGCTGGGCACAATGCTGCAGTGTGAAGGTAAAATTACAGGATCTATAGGGATGAATGAGAGATACAAGGTGGCCTTCCCACCATAGAAGGGCCTAAACCCCCCCCCAACTGTTGTGAAACTACATGTCCCATGAGGCATTGCAAGACTGACCATTACAAGCATGACTCTCAGGGGCAGAGGCCCGTTGGTATTTCTAATTAAAACACAGCTGGAAGACCAGAGTTGCCCACCCCTCGTCTAAAAAATTGGAAGGAGCGGTGGAACTCATACAGAGTTTCCGTGACAAAAGTGAACTTACCCATCAGGTGTTTTTTTTTTGTTTTTTGCAGTTTGCGTCCATTTGGAGAAATTTCCATTCAGTTCCTGTCTTATAGACACATTAGAAATTTCTCCCAAATGCAAATTTCTCCCCTTGGAAGATTTCTCCTCTTTTCCTGTTATGGTGACAATTTTGGCTTTTCTCTCACTTTGTGTCCCAGTGAAAGTGGCCACCAGGACAAATCGAGAAGGTGAACCTCCCTAGATTGGACCTGACAGGGTTTTTAACCACTCACTACTCTATCCGAAACTTGAAAAAGTTTTAGCTCTAGATTGACTTGGATGAACAGAACATGGCTGAGGCCCAAGGTCTGCACATACCCCTCTGAGGCTGTGTAGAGAATCACAGGAGGATAGTATAAAAGGCAGATTCATGCATTTATAGCTGCATTTAAAAATGTATATCTTTTTACATAGCGGAATCATTTTCTTTTATTTATATTTGGTGGAACTTACACTTTAATTAGCAATTATTATTTTAAATAGATTGACTATACATTTTTACAGACACTTTGTAGAGTTGTCTCAACCACTGATACTTCTGCTCCCCCGGGACGTAGTCTCCAAGACCGATAGTGCACAAGGATATAAAACAGAAGTAGAAGGCATCCAGGAAACTCCAGGAACTTTCTATGACATTGAATATGGTGGCAGGAACAAAAAGAAACAGAATCCCCACCGACACACTTATAACGATGAAGTGAACCATGGTCACTTTCTTCCGGTCAAAGCCTTTTTGAAGCTGAAAGTAATGGATGGGCCTGTAGGTGAAGGTGGCCATGAGGCGCTGGACGGCAGCACTGAGGACCAGCATGGTGAAAGGGACGCCAACAAGAGCATAGAAGATACAGAAAGCTTTCCCAGAGTCCGTCAGGGGTGTGGTATAACCATAACCTGAAAAGAAAACACACAGAGAGGTTGATTATTGCTGTATACCATTGGCCGAGCTGTAGAACATTATTTTCATCTTTATTACTCATTTTAAAAGTACATCAGAGCAAACAAAATCCATACATCTCTGCAATACATGGACATTTCCCTGTGTTAGATTGTAAGCCCTCAAGGGCAGGTGGGGAAGATTGCCTCATTTGAGCATGGCTGAATGATGAAAAAACATTAAATGTGTGGCCTCCTGTACTGAACTCATCTCAGGAGTTGGTAAAGTAAACCTTGAACAAGCCCGGACAATACAAACAAATCAAATTATAAAAAATGCATAATTAGGAGGTTACCTTCAGTGAAAGCTGCATGACAAGACAATCAATAGCTCCAATTATATAGGCTTCTGAACTATTATGCAACGCTTGACTTTTCCTGTAAGGGCTCGTTCACACTACTACATTGTGGTAGCACACCATGCACGTGTTAGTGTGTTGCTGTTATATTCTCCAGAATGCAGCAGAGTTGTACTGCACCAAACACATTAGGGTAATGTACAAAAAGGGTCTAAGACAAGCTGTATAACCAGAGCATAGCCAATCAACTTTTACATTTTCATTTGTAATCTGTGTGGAATAAATGAAAGATGGCACCTGATTGGATGTTACTAGTTGAGACAGAACTTGTCTCAGACACATTTTAGTAATTCCCCTCAATGCGTGTTGCGGTACACTGCATAAAGGTGGCAATACACTTTACAACCATCGCAAGACCTTAGTCTGTGGATGGTTGTAAAGTAATTAAAAAACATACGATCTGCCCATCTTGGACAGGCAGATCGTACTTGCGATCATCGCAAGCCCGCCCCCCTGAGGGGAGGGCTTCCGATGACCGCAATGCTGAACGGGCAGTGTGCTCGTGCGCACACTGACCCGTTCAGCATTTGTCTCCCGAGCATCATTCAAACCAGCCGAAAATCGTAAGATTTTTGGCTGGTTTTCTAGCATGCTCCTTAGACAAAAGACGTGCGACCGTACAGTAGAAATGGCCGCACGCCTTCCTTCACACTGCACGATTACCGTACAATTGTGGGATTACCCGCGATTATCGCACAATATTCGTGCAGTGTATGGGCACCTAAAGAAACACTACATCCCATAGGGGTCAATGGTTAACCTTTTGACATATATCATAGATAAACATATATGGCCAATTATTCATCATATATTACCCCAAGGCTATGCTGCTGTGAAATACTTTTGTGTTAGGGTGGAGGTTGCAAGTCACAAATTGAAGACTAAAATATGCTGCTGTGCAATATTCTCCTCTGAACTATTTACCAATAGAGGGAAAGGTTGGATCCTTGACCTAGTCAGACAAACCGATTTAGCTGGTTCGCTCTCTCTCTGACATGTTTTGGGCTAGTCAGCAGGTACGGGGGCTGAACATACAATCAGGCCATCAGTTTCCTCATTTGCGGTGAAGACAAAATGTTAAGCAGCACAAATACAAACTGACTTTCCACCAGTCAGTTCAGCCTTATCTGCCGACATCTGCACCATGCAGGAGGTGAAACTGATGAATATCCAACTCACATAATGCCAGAAGATTTCATTCTGTTTTCATGAATAAACATTAAAAATTAGTTTAAAAAAAAAAAAAAGAAGAACAATGCAATGCTGTAAGAACTGATACGGCATCACCCCAAACTTCACATTTTTCAAACTAATAGGTGCACTTGAAGGTATGTGAGCCCCAATGTTTTCTGCATTTCAGGTCTATTCTGAGATATGAGCGGGATGCATGGCATACAGTCACAAGACACCACAACTTCAATGGTATCTTACAGATGTAACATCTTAATGAGTTTTCTGAATATCCCACAATCCGATTAATCAGCTAGTCTACACACTAGTCCGTCCCCATCTGAAATACTGTGTTGGATCACTCAAAGCCGGAGCGGTTACAGTTTACATATTTTTTTCAACTTCATGTGAAGTGTACAATCCATTCAGATCCCTGTTGGGATCCAGTGCATTGCGATAAAATGCAGCATGTTTGCTTTTTATCACAGCACCAGCCCATCACACCCTCATGGTGGTGTGAATGGGACACATCCCTGAAATTACTTATTTCAGGTTGGGATCCCTGTGTGTATATACATTATATAATATAGATTTGTTATATATACAGTGCATTCAGAAGTATTCAGAACCCCTTCACGTTTTTGAATTTTGTTATGTTGCAGCCTGATACAACAGTTGCTTAAATTCTCAGAACCCCATAATGACAAAGTGAAAACAGAATTTTAGAAATGTTTGTAAATGCATAAGAAAAAACTGAAATATGACATTGGCATAAGTATTCACACCCTTTGCAGCAACACTTGAAATTTAAGTATTCACACCCTTTGCAACAGCACAGGAGCCTCCCATTTCTCTTGATCATTCGCTGAGATGTTTCTACACCTTGATTGGAGTCCACCTGTGGTAAATTAAATTGATTGGACATGATTTGGAAAGGCACACACACCTCTCTATAGAAGGCCTCACAGCTGACAAAGCATACTGTATCAGAGCAAAAGCCATTAGGTTAAAAGGAACTGCCTTACAGAGCTCAGAGACAGGATTATTGCAAGGCACAGATCTGGGGAAGACAAAAAAAAAATTCTGCTGCACTGAAGGTCCCCAAGAGCACAGCGGCCTCCATCATTCTCAAATAGGAGAAGTTTGGCACAACCAGGACTCTTCCAAGAGCTGGTCACCCCGCCAAACTGAGCAATCGGGGGAGAAGGGCCTTAGTAAGAAAGGTGACCAAGAACCCAATGCTCACTCCAGAGACCCTGTGTGGAGATGGGACAAAGTTCCAGAAGGACAATCCTCACTGATCTGGCCTTTTTGGCAGAGTGGCAAGAAGAAAGCCCCTCCTCATTGCAAAACACATGAAAGCCTGCTTGGAGTTTGCAAAAAAGCACCTAAAGGTCTGATGAAATGAACCTCTGGTCTGATGAAATGAAGATTGAACTGTTTGGCCTCAATTCTAAACATTATGTCTGGAGGAAACCAGACACCGCTCATCACCTGCCCAATACTATCCCAACAGTGAAGCATGGCGGTGGTGACATCATGCTGTGGGGGTGTTTTTCAGTAGCGGGGACTGGGAGACTGGTTAGGGGTGAGGGGAAGCTGAATGGAGTACAGTACAGATATATCCTCAATGAAAACCTGTTTCACGGTACTCAGGACATCAGACTGGGCCGAAGGTTTACCTTCCAACATGACAACGATCCTAAGTTTTTTTTCAGGATCGATCTTACAGCATGGATTGTATTGCTATGTTGAAATGCTGCCTGCTTCAATTGCATTTATTTTATTTCAGTAGTTTCAGGGGGGAAACTTTTTTTTTTAATGTTTTATTATCCAGCAAATATCAGAGGGCTCCTAAAGTGTATCTAAACCCAAGGTCAAAAATGTTATATATTGCCGTTTACCAGTATAATAGATGTGGTGGCTGCAATAGTTTTTAGGCCCCCCCCCCTTTATTTTCACCTGGCGATCCTGCCAGTAACACCCTTCCTGTCTTAGCAGGAGAATGAACACTCACAATACTGTTTCTTTGACTTAAATATTTTTGAAGCCAGCCAATCCAGTCTGTCCAGGGCAGCTAATGACTGGAGATGCTATCTGAGCACATGCAGAACTGAAATGTCTGTCAACTTTGTAACTGCCAGCAATATCAATATCCATCCATGTGACACAATCAGACCCTCAGATGTCATCAGTGTACTTGACATTAAAGTGACGCTAAAATCAGGAGTTAAGTCTTAAAAAAGGAATTCAAGTACCTTCACTATTAACAAAATGTATCTTATTTGTGTATCACTCGGCTGTAGATCCTCAAATCATCTCTGAATTGGTGCTGACACTGTCCTTCCTTCTGGAGGGTGGCTACTTTTGTTCCTTATGGTCCCTGTGTGTGTTGTAAAGTAGCCACCCTCCAAACTCGCTCTTGTGATGGGACTACAAGCTCACATTTAGTCCATCACAGAAGTGAGCTTGTTGTCAGTATATAGGTAGTAAGAAGTCGGCTGACATCAAAGGCTAGATCTTTTCAAACCAGAAAATTGGGTGTTACGCCAACCCAAGTGTTAATACAACCACGCCTTGAATATTTCTGACATTCCAATGGTAAGATTGGCTAATCAAACAAACATTCAGGACATTCAGAACTTGCCCATCAACCCAGAGATGCGAAGATAGGTCACCAGCACTCCAAAATGCAAAGAAAATATTGTTTATTGCCAATAACGTCACATAGGTCAAAATAGCCAACATTTCGGGGCCACGCCGGGTCCTTTCCTCATGGCATCACAGTGATGAGTGCTGGTGCCCTATCTTCACATCTCTGAGGTTTTTGCACGGCGCAACTGTGGCGGTCACTACGAGCATCTATCCAAACTACACTGGTCACAGCTCACGGTATACTGAGACGCCGCAGCTGAAGCGGATCCCGACAATTAGTCTGGATCCGCCCAGCTGCTAGACTGACAGCTGGCTCTGCCTATCTAGAGATCGAGAAGTGAGCGAACGACGGTATGTGTTCGCTCACTTCCCGATCTACTGAGCCGACCTGTGACAGTCTCATTGTCACAGGTCGGCTAGAACTATGAGGTGAGTGAAAAGCACTCACCTCAGTTCTCCTTTAAGGCAGTTCTTCACCATTTTTGCTGAGTTATTTTCCTGCTATCCTGTAAAGAGCCTGGTTTATTTGATCTTCTGCTGTTTAGCTATATTCTCAAAGACATAACTAAATGATTCAGAGGAGTGACTTCCCCACTCCCTGCCTGTTGGTTTATAGGCAGCCATATGCATTTTCAGTTAGAGGCTTTAAAAAAAGAAAGAAGGCAGTGCCGGGTTATCCTTTGAGAACATATGTCCTACAAACAAAGTGTAATGGAAGCACACTATATTACATTTTCTTCTGTAGAAAATATAGTAATTAGATTCAGTTAAATG